TCTAACTAACACTGCATATGGTTTAGAGTGACATCAGTTTATAGAGTAATACCCTTGGAAATCTACACAAGTAAATATCTAACCTTGACAACCGTTCAGAAGATAAGGATTGCCCTCATATCCTTTGGAGCACTGGCATAAGTACCCTGGACCATTGTTCGCAGCCATGCAGTAGCTGTTTGCACTGATGCAGGCATGGTCATTAGGTGTGTCCTTCCCCTCCTCCAGGCATGAGCCGTTCCTAATGGCCCAGTCAGCGATGATGGGAGCACCCCCCTGGGCTCGATCATTCATAAACCCAAGGCTGCCGGTGAGGTCCTGCTGCCTGAAATTGTACCATCCAACCTCGGCCACCATGGCGTAGAAGCACGGGTTGAAGTCCCATACCTTGCTCTGGTTCATCTCAAACTTGACCTCGAAGGTGGTGAGGTTGGCTGGGATGGCAGCCTCACAGCAGCCCATCCCAGCACATGGTGCGCCATCCGACGTGTTGTTGACACCATCGCAGTAGGAGTAGCAGCCAGCCACGTACTGGCTTGCGGCGCCCTTGTAACCGCCGATGAGCCCCAGGGTGTTACAGCCGATGACTGTGAAGTGATTGCGCGATGGGGAGGGTAGGAAGGGCGTGTTGTCCAGCTCGTACCCTCTGGTGAACTTGGTGAATGTGGCGTTTGACTTGAAGCAGATGTGGCTGACGGGGCTGAGCACGCGCATCTCGCCGTGCTCCAGTGAGATCTCGGCGACCTCAGCTACTGCTCCGGGATCACCAACCATTGGCCGTGGGGGATCCATCGTGCCATTGCAGGAAAGGTTGAAGTAGCTGTTCCGGCTGGTCGCGGCGCAGTGCTCCCCTATGCCGAAAGGGTATGGGATGAGCACATCGCCGCACTTGTCGGGGCAGCCTGGCAACGACATGGAGCGCTTGGAAGAGGCTCCGGCCACTGCTGCCACTGCTGGAAAGGAGATGCATACTATGGAAACTAGCAGGGCTGTTGATGCTCCTGGCATGATTGAATGCCAATTAGTGATGTTACATGTATGCACACATACATGTACTTGCAAGTTTGCCATACAATACTGATTGTATATGGTTATTCACTGGAGGGAATCTCCAAGAGTGCCAGTTAACTACTACAAGTGGTATTACTATATCGGAATGCACGTTAACACGCACAAATGCTTTGACCTTGATTGCGTGTTTGCCGTAGTCTTGATTCTTTATTTGTGTGGTTGCTTTTGTCAATGGTTTCGCCCCCTCATTTTATTTTTTCTTGTCTTCAGGAAACAAGGTGATCTGGCGTTTTTGGTAACATACAGGAGTACTCCCTCCGTTCCGAATTACTTGTCTTGGATTTGTCTAGATACAGACTGGCCAGTTGGGGCCTACCCTTAATAGAAAATTAACAAGGTGAGCACAAACCGGTTCCGGCTCATTTGAGAAGAAATCTGGAGCCTACACAATACACTCTCATTCGCCACTGTGTTAACTTGTTGCATTGCCAGAGTGGTGATTTTTAGTTTGTTCAGTTGGAGCATATCAACAATCACGTGTTCACCTAGAAGAATACATTTATGTTATGAGGGGCATCAGGAGACGAGGAGCGAATGATGAGTTTTGAGGTTCTAAACATTGTGATGAGTTTCTAGCTGGATGGTCAAGGTGGTTTGGTTGGGCCTATTTACCTCTGGGCCCAGGAAAATGCATACCATCCGGCATATGACCCAGCCTGAAGCTCTGACGATATATTGCTGTCGAAACATAGTTGCAGAGAAAGAAGGATATATATGGACTCAGTTGGCAATTAAGAATTTTTATCTCTTCGCTTCGTCGGAAGCTTCTCCAAATCGATGCTACTGCTCCTATTTTATCATTCGACTATCGAAGGTTGACTGACAAACATTTGGCTCCTGTTGGTTTCCCGAAAAGTAAAATGAGGCACATGAAGCTAAGCGGATCAAAATTGTCTAAACAAACGCCATCTCCTGGACAAGTTATGATCGCTGCTGCTTGAGAACAATGGTTGTTCGGTGACGGTGGCAGCAAAAGAGAGCTAACAATGCGACGAGTGAAATGCGGGCTTCCGGCACTAAGGCTCTGTCGTGCGAACCGCGGTGACCCTGGCCGAGAGGGAGGGCTCCATGTGGCGTGGAGACTGGCGGTGAACGCCAGCGCTGGTGAATTTGGATCAGTTCGTAGTGACGCCGCCGAGTCTGCTCAGTGGCAGCTAGTCACCAGCTCATGATTGGATCGGCAGTGCGTATTGACCCACGGAATTGGGAGACACTCATTCCCCACCCAGCACAGGTAAATTCCGATTTCTGTTATGGAACTAATAAAATCCGTATTGTGTTGCATAAGTGGATATGTCTTAGTTCAAATGGTACCATTTACAAATTAAATGGCCAAAACAAAGTCTGTATACTCATAATCAAACTATACGCCTATAATCTACATGTTCCATACATGCAGTGGTGTGTGTTTTATCAAAAGTAAAACAGTGATGTATGTGGTGATTTCTCTGGCATGTCAAATCGAATGTTATGATCCTTGCCCCATAAATTGGTGTAACTATTGCAACAGTGGGGGTTAAATATTTATTGTCACATATCACAAACAAAAGAATTGACTGTCCATACAAAATTACAAACATCATCTTGAAAGATCTTCAACCAGTTCTGACATATCGATGGTCCCACGTGTTGTCTCTTCCAAAGGGACCACAACCGAAGATGATCCTCCATAGCTATGTGTATAGTGATTATTTTCAGGATCACTAGCTGAGTGCACTCGGAGTCTCCTCATCATCTGTAGGCTCTCAGCGACTTCCTTCATCGTTGGCCTGTCATCTCCCTTTGTATTTAAATTACTTATTCCTTAGTATCTAAACTAGAGCATTAAGCTGTACTGGTTTTGTTTATCATTCATATGAGGACACCCAAGTAAGCAAGGGTTGCTTCCCTAGTGACCTACTCTTCATAACTGACCGCTGTTCTTTTGTCATTGATTTTGAAGAGAAAGTATTTGTTGATAGTGAGAGTGAGGATAATGATGGGGTGAGTGAGGATGGGGAAGATGCTCCATCCATGCATGATCAGCAAGAGGCGCAAATGCAAGTGGAAAAAGAGACACAAATTCAAGTGGAAAAGGACGCACCACCAACAGATGGCAATTTGGAGACCCGTAGATCTGTATGGCTTGTCAAGAAGAAGACCAAGGGCGTCAACAGCCTATACCCCGCTGCTTAGAAATCTGCTGGCAAGTCTCTTCTTTCTAGTGTTTTATGATTCATGATAGTTGCTTAGAAAATTTTAGTTACTTGGAGCTGCTAGTTTCTTAGATGTATAAACTTTCTATCCATGCCTAGCCTTCGTTGTCATGTTAAGCAATGTATTTATGTTATCCTGAAATGTTACCACTTGACTATTGTTGCACTAGACACCTCCCTGTTAGTCCATTTTATTTCATTATGCACAAAGTGGAAGAAGAAAATTCTGATGTTGAACTACATCCATCCTGATCCTTTCTTTGTTTTCTCTATATGAACTAGAAATGCCACATGAAGAACTAAGGATATCAAGAAGCTTTTGGATGTATGCAAGCTTGGAGCTGCTATTTTATAGGTATATTAACCACTGTATTTGTCCTGCAATATGTTTGACCTTATGCATGAATTTTGATTCACATTTTTCACCGCGGATTTTCCTTTTGCATGACAATTGACAAATGGCTAGTCCAAGCCAACAGTGGGTTGTTTGTGTCTATGTTGCTTTCTTTGTATCCTTAGAGTTTTGTTGTGCTGGAGTAAAAACCGTATGGAGGCATTTAACCTTTGCTCCTGAAGCTTTTTGGTGAATAAAAAACTATATTGCTGTAGTAGATTTGTTATTTGATTCATGAGCATGCATAAATTTGACTATTGTTCTACTAGCCACTTGTCCTGTTAGTCCATTTTATTTTTAATGCACAAAGTGGCAGAAAATAATTCTGATGCAGAACTACCTCCATCCTGACCCTTCCTCTGTTTTCTCTAAACCAGAAATGGCACTTGAAGAATAACGAAAGATATCAAGAAGCTTTTGGATGTAGGCAAGCTTGGAGCTGCTGTTTCAATGTCATACTTTGATAGTTGCCTTTTGGAGCTGTTGTTTCTATGTGTAATACTTTAAGTCTGTTGGCTGTACTGGACTATTTAAACTCTGAACTATGCGGTGATGGTTGAACTGATGTTGGACTGTTAAGGGTTATGTTGGAGGCCACTTTATAACTAATGTGTGCCTGTTATGTTGAACAGATGCAGTTTTATTATTCCCTAGAGCTTATTTGCTGAAATTTACATGATCAAACCTGATGGTTGCTGCGCTGCTATATTTATGGCCTGTTTTATTTCAAATCTTGTTTGAATTTCGGCCGAATTTCGGCCAAATTTCGGCCAAGTTTTGGCCAAATTTTCAAATTTTGATTTTGAAATTTCGTCCGAGATTTTGCCGAAAATTTTTAAATTCCCGAAATTCGGCCATTTCGGCCAAAGACGAAATAAAACACAAACCGAAAATCAAAACACAGACTGCACTGCAAGTTCAGCCATGTTCTCAAGCACCACCATAACTGCATCATCTGTAATTTCAGTGTCCAGCATAACAAGGTGTCTCCTCTTTTGAAACATCAAGGGAAAACTATATGACAATGATTCCTTTTCGTTGAAGTTGTCCGTATATATAGCCCTCTTTCTTGTCATCAGCTCCAGAAGAACCACCCCGAAGCTGTATACATCACTTTTGTCAGTGAGATGACGACTGATAAAGCTCTCTGGGTCAAGGTAGCCGAGTGTTCCATGAACAAACATGATGAATTCACTTTCATCCATGGACTTAAGTGCTGATGCTCCGAAATCGCCAACTTTTGCGTTGAGCTGATCATCCAAGAGAATGTTGGCAGACTTGACATCCCCATGTAGGATTGTGCGAGATGTCGAAGAATGTAAGTAAGCCAGTGCTTCTGCTGACTGTGTAGCAATCTTCAGGCGAAGATCCAAAGGGATTGGTGATCTACAACCAGCGCCATGAAGAAACTCAGATAAAGTACCACCAGGGACGAACTCGTAGACCAACATTGGGACATCCACATCTAAACAACATCCTAGCAACCTCACAATGTTTCGGTGATTGATTTGTGATAAGACTATTATCTCATTGACAAATTCTTCCCTCCAATCATCGCTGATTACTTTGGACTTCTTGATGGCGACCTCTTTTTGGTCATCCAAAGTTCCTCTGTATACCATCCCATGGCCGCCACAGCCAATAACTCGATCTTCATTGTAGTTATCAGTGGCTCTCTTTATCTCTTTTTCAGTAAGTATACGAATTGTGTCAACCTGCCTTGACCTCATCTCATCATATAACTTGAGACCTCCATTTTGTTTGAAATACTCATCTTTCTCCTTCTTGTGTCTTTTCCTTTGTAATTGCATGAGCAACAAGCATGCTAAGGCCATCACCACCGTTACAGAAACACTGAGGCCTGTAAAAATATATTTCTAGTAAATTTCTGTTGCAGATTTTGACTTCCTCTTCCTTTTTGCTTCTAAGTAGTGTCTAGCATTAATATTATATGTTAGTATTATGTCGGTGTTCGTCATTAGGAGACACACCTTAATGTAGATGAAAATCTGAAGCAAAGGTAACCTCTTTACATAGATGATACTTACCAATAACCATTTTGTCAGCTGGCGAATGCAGAGACTGGCATCCAAAATCTGTACCGTCAGATTTTGTTCCTTTCTTGCATTTGCAAAAGTAGCTTCCTGGTGTGTTGTGGCAGACCCCTTTTGTGCATGGATACAAATCTTTATACTTGGTGTTCTGCTTACGCAATGCGCACTCATCTGTGTCTGAAGACAATAACAAGAACATGCACTCAATAGTCAAACTAAACACACATTATTTTCATTGTTATATGTCAGTCGAAGAAAGTTTCAACGAGTAATGAAGACAACCAGTCAATTCACTTTGTAATGCTGTAAAATTCCCTATGCATTACTTGTTCTAAAGTAACATTAAGTCATGTGTTAAAATAAACAATACACACCACAAAAGAAGGCCATTATTTTCCAGTTCTTTCTTTAGGTGTGGTAGAAATCAAATATGACTATATGAGTGTTGCCTTTTGCTACTAGCAAAAAATTTGAAGACTTGTGTCGAGCACTAATTTTTCATGAATCTATATCTTGTGGAACTAACACTGAGATATGGTCCAGAATTGCATCAGTTTTCAGAGAACTATCCCTGGAAAACCACAGAAGTTAAATTTGAGTAGATACTTAACCTTGACAGCCGTTCAAAAGATAAGGATTTCCTTCATATCCTTTGGAACACTGGCATAAGTACCCTGGACCATTGTTTGCGGCCACACAATGACTGTTGACACTGATGCAGGCATAGTCATTGGGCATGTCCTTCCCCTCCTCCGGGCATGAGGCGTTCCTAATGGCCCAGTCAGCGACAACGGGGGCGCCTCTCTAGGCTCGATCATCAACGAACCCAAGTCTGCCGACGAGGTCCTGCTGCCTGAAGTTGTACCACCCAACCTCCGCCACCATGGCGTAGAAGCACGGGTTGAAGCCCCATACCTTGCTCTGGTTCATCTCAAACTTGACCCCGAAGGAGGTGAGGTTTGCAGGGATGGCAGCCTCGCAGCATCCCATCCCAGCACACGGCGCGCCTTCAGTCGTGTTGTTGACGCCCTCGCAGTAGGAGTAGCAACCAGCCACGTACTGGCTCGCGGTGCCTTTGTACCCGCTGATGAGCCCAAGCGTGTTGCAGCCGATTACCGTGAAGCGGTTGCGCGATGGGGAGGGCAGGAAGGGCGTGAGTTGCAGCTCGTACCCTCCGAGGAACTTGGTGAACGTGGTGTCCAAAGTGAAGCAGATGTGGTTGACGGGGCTGAGCACACGCATCTCACCGTGCTCCAGCGAGATGTCGGTGATCTCAACCACTGCCTCGTCATTGCCGACCATTGGCCGCGGTGGATCGATCGTGCCGTTGCAGGTGAGGTTGAAGTAGCTGCTCAGGCTGGTCGCGGCGCAGTGTGTGCCGATGCCAAAGGGGTATGGGATGGGAACGTCGCCGCACTTGTCGGGGCAGCTTGGCAGCGAGACGGAGCGCCCGGAAGAGGCTCCGGCCAGTGTTGCCGCTGCTGGGAGTAAAATGCTAGCTACGAAAACCAGCATAGCTGGACGCTGATTACTCATGTTACATGTTTGCAAACAGCATACCAGACCATGTTAAACTGATTTGGAGTAGGTTTGCGCCTGCAAACAAGTAAACACAAGTTGGTATGGTGCTCAAGCGATAAGGTGTTAGTTAGTTTAAGTACCACAACTGATATCACTAATCATACCAGCGGGGGAGACCTTGACCCTGATTCTTCGGCGTGTTGCCTCATTCTTTCTTTTGTTTTCGTTTTGAGATGTGACACCGCTTTTTTTTTTAATTGGACATCACTATTGATGCTTACCGTCTGATGAAAGAATTCGAGCAAGAACACGGAAAGTCATCCACGCGACAAATAAAGTACCTCTTTGTCATTGTCGAAGGTTTTGTTTAAAGATGTAGTTTAACCTCATTTATGTTGTCTCTTGTTTCAGGAAACGAAGTAATCAACAGGGTGATTAGCTTGGCTGGTTGGAGGGCAAGGAACCCTCGCAGATTGGCTGGTTGGAGGGCAAGTTTTGCTTTGAAGTCAACAAGGTGAGAACACTCCAGTTCCAACTTCTCATCAGAAAAGGAGGAATTTGGGAGCCTACGCAATATGCGTATGCTGACGATTCCCGTCGCCAATGGTGTTGGGAATTGTTAGTCTCGTGAGCCGGAATCTAATTGAAATTTCATTAATTGATCTCGAAAATACATCCAGCTGCTGATTTGTTTTGTTTGCAAAATGCATTCAGGTCATCTTTTTGAGGCAAAAATGCATTCAGGTGTTGATGATCTTCTAGCTTTTTTTTGAAGGGCCGGGAGGTCTGGTTGGGCCCATTTTTCACTGGACCTGACAAGCTATCCGGCCTTGAAATTTTGGTCTCAGATTAGAGAAAATAACACTGATGCCTTCTGAAAAACAAAAAGCAATCACTGATGCTTCCCTAAAAAAAATCACTGGTGACATGTTGGTGTGGAAACAGTGTTGCAAAAACAAAAGGGTATGTTATCAGTTGGGTAGCCAAAGAGAGCTTCTATTTTTCCTTTCTAAAGAAGGATCAGAACAGAAAAATGTATACGGCCTTCTAGCTGGACGGGCCGAGATGTCCAGTTGGGCCTATCTATCACTGGGCCCCACAAACTATCCAGGTTATCCCGGCCCGGCCCAACTTAATATGGGCCTCAAAATTTCCTCTTAGTGAGAGAAAAGAAAACCAAAATTACACGGGCCATCCCCGCTTGTACTTTTCTTGTAAAAAAAAATCACTGGTGCCATGTTGGTGTGGAGACGGTGTCGCAAAGACCAAACGCCATGGAATCAGTTGGCTAGCTAAGAGAGCTTGTACTTTTCTGTACCAAAAAAAAAGGATCGGAATAGAATACGATACAATATAAAATATAAAATCGGGCCGGCGATGCCAGTGGGACTTGGCTCGAGTGACCAGGAAGACGACACTTGGAGCAAAACAACAACAGTCATTAGTCTGTCTCTTAATTTGGCCGTACACATCAAACAGCTCGCTCCTCGCTGTATTACTATGCTAAACAATCAATACCATACAGTTTTGGACTTTGTCTCCTCCCCTCTGCTTAATCAGCACCTTCGTATTTTGCACTTCAGTCCTCGCATTTCTGCTCGCTTCGTCGCCGGCTCCTCGCAGCTGGTCGATGCTGTTGATCCCATCATTTGGCCATCATCAAGGGTCCAAGCTTGGTCTACAACTGTTTCAATACGTTGGCTTAAATTCTGAAATCGACATCGGTGTCTGAATCGGCAGCGTTGGAGTTGGACACACAGCGCCAGTGTCGACTAGCTGCGTGGCACCAATTGGAAAGGATATACGTGTGAGACGTCGTGGCCTTACTTGCTACTAATTTTGTGCTGTATACATCGGTGGATTATCCGTATTGTATTGAGCATTTATGCATCACCACTGTCGACGGTACATGTCGGCTCTATTTTGTGGCAATAACAAGAGTTAGTTCTGATTTGGACTACCTCGAAGCGACATTTTGCACTGTATTCTTTTTTTGAGGAAAGACCATCATGACTAGCTTTATTACAATTAAAAAACGTTCACATTGTCTACGAGCCGCACAGTCAGAAGGCTCACCCAACCAACTAAAAGAGGACTTATTCTTATTACAAAAGCCAAAATTTGCTAGCACATGAGAATTACTAGAATGAGAAGATTTGTACCGCCTTTTATTTTTCATGACAAGAACAACTACTCTTTTCTTTCTTGACCCAACTCGGAGGAGCTTGGGCCATTTACGAGCTGCTAGACGGCGGGCCAAGTTGACCCTAAGGGGCCGGCAAGCCCAAACCTGGTCAAGAACTCATTGGATCTAGCTATTCTCACACGCGTGATTCGGGTTAGAAGTTAGAGGGGGGAGCGGCAGAAGAGGGCGAGACAACTCTGGCCAGATTGGACTCATATAAGAGCATGGTGCGATGTAAGGACAAACCCCCAAAACAAAATATGTTGCGAATCAGAATATGTTGTAGAATCCAAAATGTAAACCCGACTATGTTATAAAATATGGTGACGTTGCGAATTGGAATACATCATAGAATCCAAAATATAGTGTGCAGCGGACAAAATTATGAAATATGATGATGTTGGGAATCCGAATATATTGTAAAATCCAAAATGCAGTGACACAATTATCGGATTGTGACAAAGAGGTGGTCCAAGTTGGAATCAACTCCAACAATAATAAAACCCCAAGGTTCAATCTGCAAAAGTGATCTTCTCTGACGATGGCGATATAAAACCACCGGGCATGGCATGGCACCGCACCCTGTCTCCATTATTGCGCTTTCCTTGAGTCGACCACACTTGAGAGCTCACGCCGTCTGCTAGAGGCAACCAATGGCGTCCACGGAGGAGCTGCCGTCGTTCAGGACGCCGGGCTCGGTCCCCTTCAAGTGGGAGCTCCAGCCGGGCATCCCGAAGCCACTGGCATGCCACGCAGCCGCCGCTACAGCACCACCGTCGTCGTTGGCGCCGCTGCAGCTCCCTCCGAGGCTCGCGCTGCCCCCCGGCGCCTCTGCACGCGCCGCGTCCAGCGGCGGCGCGCGGTGGACCTGCCCCGCCTCGACGTCGGCGCGGTGGACCTTCGCGGGCGTGTCGTCGGCAGCGCTGCTGTCGCCGCCGTCGACGGAGACTGCGGCTGCGACGGCCCCGCGGCACCGGCGGTCCATGTCCGCGCGGTTCGCGACGTCGCTGACGCTGCCCTTCACGCGGCCGCGGCGGCGGGGCCGGTCCAGGGAGGACGCCGACGTCGCGTTCGCCGCCCTCTATGGCGACAGCATCGTGCAGTAGTAGATGCGTGCCTGTCGTGTCCGCTCTCGCCAGATTGTGATTATATTCACTAATATATTAGATTGCCTCTGTCATAGTGCTACCTCCATCCAGTCTGTGTAGAGTGCCTCCTAGTTACCAGCTGCTAATCTGCAAAAGAACAGTAGTTTCCAAGTGTCAAAAATAGACGTAACTGCTTATTATATACATGTCAGAATTTTGTTTGAGAGTTCTTGTTGGATAACTTCAACGTTATTGTAACCTTGTCGAATAATCAATAAATGAGATTGTTAAGATTTAATCAAGTTTCAGTCTATATTCATGAGGTCTTATGCGGAGATCCGTGCAAAATTTTCGTTTGGACCTTTTCTTTTTAACATGTCTTGTCACTTGAGTGAGACTTGATTAAGTCTCACTCGACTGAGATCCAGCCACCCATCAATAAACCTCTATAGATTTTTTTTAAAAGATATGGTATAGATATCCGGCGAGTAAAATCCACCACTGGTCCTAAAAGTATTCGAGGTGTGTCATTTTAGTCCTAAAACTATAAAAATGCATATCTGAATCCTACTTCTTTCTAAAGTGTGTCACCGCCAGTTCTAAACTCGCCGGAGCAAGCCTGACCTGCACCCCGTGGCGATTCTACCGGGCATGCTTCAACAGGCTCAAGCCTGCCCTCTGAAACTGAAAAACGAAAATTTACTACTAGTTTTTAGCCCATGTCAGCCCACTGTCTAGTGTCTAGCCTATTGTTTACATGTTCTAACCCTTGTATTGAGAAGTTGAGCCTGCCCTTTATTTTCATCTAAGATTCGTCACTGCATGCACCCGTGGCAATTTGACCTTTGCCACGTCCAATTGAAAGGCCACGTTGAAAAAACAACTCCACTGGATACATTGCAATAGCCCCACTGAATTTCTTACCCTCATATTGTGCCCCCACTCTGCTTCTCTAGCACACGTACAAGTCAGAGGTGACTGGGGCGCAGCGGCAGCCGGCGGAGGTCGCCAGAAGCAGGCGGCCGGCGGAGCGGGTGCGTGGCGCGGATATGGCTCCACAGCGGCGCCCCTGGCGTTTCCCCACTAGTGTATGGTACGACCCTAGCCCCCGCGAGTTTAGGACCGGCGGTGACACACTTTAGAAAGAAGTAGGACTCAGATATGCGTTTTCATAGTTTTAGGACTAAAGTGACACACCTCGAATACTTTTAGGACCAATGATGGATTTTACTCATATTTGGCAAACGTTCACTGTGGGTGAGATATCAGCGAACGCCCCGAGCCATCTGATCTTGATGTCAAGGTTGCAATTTTTGCCAAAAACTCCCCGCAAATTAAACAAAATGTCATGGCAGTTTTGTAAAATACCATCCCTAGCCACACAAAATGAGGCGTTCGCCCTTGCCATCCCTCCAAGCAACCGTTCGCAAGGGATTGGCGTCCAAAAGGTATTATATCATCATTCATGTGCTTGCAAATATCGAGGAAAAAATTATTATTATTATTGTTGCCTATGTAAATATAATTTTTTTATCACCGAGTTTCTCTTGTTCTAAAATTGTTTAACGCGTGAAGCCAAAATTTATATGAAGACATATAACTTGCAACTGTGGAACTTTACATATATTGTTGATGTTTTTAAATATTCGATTTCAAGATTGCCATTTATGCGGGAGCCATATCTCTACATTCACCTTTGAATTACCTAATTACGAGTGAGGTGATTTGGAGCTCGGCTCGGGTGTGAGCGCGATTTTTTGAAGTAGAAATTATATTTCATTTTTTACTAACAATATATAACAAATGTATATAATGGATGAATTCTACATGTATAGAAATTTTTAGTACGAGATATTTAGCATGTTAGCTACTAAAAAGAATAATTTTGTGGATTTGTAATACCAAACGGTCTTGTGTTTTTGTACAATCGTATGCAAAAGTATGTGTTGCATACAAATTTATATGTACATATATTACATGCATATGTACATATTATATTATTTTTTCACATTTGTTTGAACTTCAAAATTTGTAGGAACTATATCGGTAGGCAAAAGTCACCACATAAATTGTAGAGAGCTCTATGCAAGAGTTTTTGCCCATTGTTCATGTCATGATGATTGTCAATTGTAAACCTAGCTTGGGAGGGTGTGCAACAAAGATGAGAATTTACTTTTTTATTATTAAACAAAGAACAAAATTTAGCCACACCCTTCTTTTTTCGCATTATATAATGGTTGGACATGATTAGTTCCTACAAATGTTGAGATTTATAAAACTTGACCTGCGCGTTTTTTTATCAACAGACTCACGTGCACTTCGGGGCACTTCTCACGTGCGATGACAAGTGGAATTGGAACTGAACTCTTTTTCGGGTAGAAAACCGGAACCCTCGATAGTAAACTTCCCCACTGTTGGTATATTTGGTGGCAAAAGAGACAGATGGTGAAAGGAAAACTTATCCCAGCACCAGATCGAACAGCAGTCTCAATCAGAGTCCTCGCTACCAACTTCTTTCGCTCTCTTGCTGCGAATCAACCTACGAGAAAATGTGAGCACATGTGGCAGCAACCGAGAAGGGGAGTAGTGAAGATCAATGTGGATGCTTCCTTCTGCTGTGAAAATATGACTGGTGGTACGGGAGCTATAGCGAGGGATGAGCGGGGAGAGTTTATTGCTGCTGCTGGCTGGTTTATACCACATGTGGCATCTTCAGAGTCAGCAGAGGTTATGGCCATTCGCAATGGGTTTTATCTCGCTTCGGGGATTGGTTGCACTGTCTTACAGATTGAATCTGATTGCTCTAATGCGGTTCAAGCTTATAACCTGGAAGATTACTCGGGGCAGGACTCAGCTATTGTGTTTGAAGGAAAAGAACTGGGACTGGTGTTGGGGAACGTAGCAAAATTTTAAAATTTTCTACGCATCACCAAGATCAATCTATGGAGTCATCTGGCAACGAGGGAGAGGGGAGTGCATCTACATACCCTTGTAGATCGCGAGCGGAAGCGTTCAAGAGAACGGGGTTGATGGAGTCGTACTCTGCGTGATCCAAATCACCGATGACCTAGCGCCGAACGGACGGCACCTCCGCGTTGAACACACGTACGGTTGGGAAGACATCTCCTCCAACTTGATCCATCAAGGGGGAAGGAGAGGTTGATGGAGATCTAGCAGCACGACGGCGTGGTGGTGGAAGCAACGGTGATCTCGGCAGGGCTTCGCCAAGCCCAGGGAGAGGGAGAAGTGTCACGGGAGGGAGAGGGAGGCGCTAGGGGCTAGGGTGCGGCTGCCCTCCCTCCCCCCACTATATATAGGACCCCTAGGGGGGGCGCCGACCCTAGGAGATGCAATCTCCAAGGGGGGCGGCGGCCAAGGGGGGTGGAGTGCCCCCCAAGTCAAGTGGGGCGCCCCCACCCCTAGGGTTTCCAACCCTAGGCGCAGGGGGAGGCCCATGGGGGGCGCACCAGCCCACTAGGGGTTGGTTCCCCTCTCACTTCAGCCCATGGGGCCCTCCGGGATAGGTGGCACCCGGTGGACCCCCGGGACCCTTCCGGTGGTCCCGGTACAATACCGATTACCCCCGAAACTTTCCTCATGGCCGAAACTTGACTTCCTATATATAAATCTTCACCTTCGGACCATTCTGGAACTCCTCGTGACGTCCGGGATCTCATCCCGGACTCCGAAAAACTTTCGGGTTACCGTATACTAATATCTCAACAACCCTAGCGTCACCGAACCTTAAGTGTGTAGACCGTACGGGTTCGGGAGACACGCAGACATGACTGAGACGACTCTCCGGTCAATAACCAACAGCGGGATCTGGATACCCATGTTGGCTCCCACATGCTCCTCGATGATCTCATCGGATGAACCACGATGTCGAGGATTCAATCAATCCCGTATACAATTCCCTTTGTCAATCGGTACGTTACTTGCCCGAGACTCGATCGTCGGTATCCCAATACCTCGTTCAATATCATTGCCGGCAAGTCACTTTACTCGTACCGTAATGCATGATCCTGTGATCAACCACTTGGTCACATTGAGATCATTATGATGATGCATCACCGAGTGGGCCCAGAGATACCTCTCCGTCATACGGAGTGACAAATCCCAGTCTTGATTCGTGCCAACCCAACAGACACTTTCGGAGATACCCGTAGTGTACCTTTATAGTCACCCAGTTACGTTGTGACGTTTGGCACACCCAAAGCACTCCTACGGTATCCGGGAGTTGCACAATCTCATGGTCTAAGGAAATGATACTTGACATTCGGAAAAGCTATAGCAAACGAACTACACGATCTTTGAGCTATGCTTAGGATTGGGTCTTGTCCATCACATCATTCTCCTAATGATGTGATCCCGTTATCAATGACATCCAATGTCCATAGTCAGGAAACCATGACTATCTTTTGATCAACGAGCTAGTCAACTAAAGGCTCACTAGGGACCTGTTGTGGTCTATGTATTCACACATGTATTACGATTTCCGGATAACACAATTATAGCATGAACAATAGACAATTATCATGAACAAGGAAATATAATAATAACCATTTTATTATTGCCTCTAGGGCATATTTCCAACAGTCTCTCACTTGCACTAGAGTCAATAATCTAGTTACATTGTGATGAATCAAACACCCATACAGTTCTGGAGTTGATCATGTTTTGCTCTAGGGAGATGTTTAGTCAACGGATCTGCCACATTCAGGTTCGTATGTACTTTACAAATATCTATATCTCCATTTTGAACACTTTCACGAATGGAGTTGAAGTGACGCTTGATATGCCTGGTCTTCCTATGAAACCTGGGCTCCTTGGCAAGGGCAATAGCTCTAGTGTTGTCCCAGAAGAGAGTCATCGGGCCCGACGCATTGGGTATGACTCCTAGGTCGGTAATGAACTCCTTCACCCAGATTGCTTCTTGTGCTGCCTCCGAGGCTGCCATGTACTCCGCTTCACATGTAGATCCCACCACAACGCTTTGCTTGCAACTGCACCTGCTT